GTATAAGTTCAAAAAATCTATCCTATATGTATGTACAAAAGTTGTTTATACATAGTTCTGTACATAAGGGTCTATACATTTCCTCAGAACCCTTAGGTGCCACCTCTTGGGGTGAAGACATCAACACTTCATTCACATATCTTACAAAAAAGACAAGACTTTCCAGGATTGACAAAACTCTGCATTGTGCACTCAGACCATGTAGGCTCCACTCCATTGGTTAAGATCTTTCTGTCATAATGCAAACCATGCCAGGTGCACGTGTTCCATTAAGAGCTTTACCCAGAATGCGCCAAAGTAAAAGCCAGTAAACCAACCCAAGATGAGGCAGCAAAGTCCTGACCAGGGTGCCACCATAGGTCCAGGCATGGATGAGCTTGCCTGCCCTGCTCACTGTTGGTATTCCAATTCATCTACACTGATGACTTTGGCAGGCATGGAGGGGAGGGGCTGCTGCAGCACATCTGAGCCAAACCATTTGGCAAGACCCACAGGGGAGCTGCTCCTGTAGCTGGGGTGATGCTCCAGCTGGGAGCGCATGTGCGGTAGGCCTGGGTGACTGGGCACATTCTGAGGAGTCGTCTGAATGCTGACAGCTGGCGGTTGGGACCCAGAGCCTGGAGGATGCAGAACTGAGCGCTGTAGCTGCTGTTGCATCATTGCCAGGTGCAGAGGTGTCCCAGGTCGAGGGTTTAGGAGAGGGTGACTAGCAGCAGGTAAAGGGTAAAAGGGCTGACCCAGGAGTGGGCCAGATATTCCCTGTAAATGAGTCAGGTCCATCCCAGGAGGAAGTACACCAGCTTGGAGCAAACTTGGAAGATGCCGTGGATGCACTCCCTGGGCCAGCATCCTCTGGACCAACCCTGGGTGAAGTTGGTGAGCAGGCCGAACAATAGGGACATGGGGAACAAGAGGAACCTGGTGTACAGGTCAGAGAAAAAGTGTTCCTGGAACCGGGGATGCCAAGGTGGGTGTTTTCCTTCCAGTTGCTTTAGGTCGGTAATCTTGTTCTTTGGTATAACGGTTGGTCTGGGATAGTGGGGTAGAACACGAAGATCGCTGTAATGTTGGAAGTTTGGGATTTGTTGTAGAAGAGTCTCATTCAGCACTAGGTATGGAGTTAGATGATAGTAGGTTCTCTTCACTAGCCTTCTGAGTATCCTCTTTACTGTCACCAGGAACTGCTTTTCCAGATGCAGGCTCCTCCTTGCTTTTCTCTTTGCTCTCGTACATCTTCCGGATTACTGAGGTAGGGGTGAAGGAAGGAGAAAGCATGCTTGTGATGGAGGCAGCAGGGGATGGGGAAGAGGAATTCCCTCGGTGCACAGGTGCTGGTGACTTGGTCACTTGCTGTGGCCTGTTTCTGAATCCATCCCTGGTTCTATCCACCTGTGGTTTGCCAAAACCAGGCTGGTAGAAGTTTGCTGCCTGTACTGCAAGGTCATGTGGCAGGGCTAGCCCCTCCAAAGCTGCCTGCTGCAACTCTAGCTGGCTAATCTGAGCTGTGACAGGGCTCATGGGCTTTTGAATGCCTTGGAATGGATCTCCAAGTAGTTGCTGTGGTCCTGGTGTGAAACCAATTGGTGATGGTATTCTTGGATGAAGGTAGTCTGCTGAGGCTGCCTGAGTTTGAAACACCTGTGACACAGGAGGAGAGGGTGCTCTTTGGCCTAGTAAAGATGCAGTAGGCCCCAAGCTCCCCATAAGGCCACTCAGAAGACTGGAGGAAGCAGGTCTTTGAAGTGGTTGACCCAGAAGTTCCTGCAGGATGTTCTTAGGGACAGGCTGGCCTGCAGTCTCAGCAGGGGACATCAAATGGCTTTCAAGATTTCGACTGACTTTGGGCTGAGAAGGCAAAGTCCCACTTGCCTTCACGGTGCTCACTAGCTTGTTAAATGCAGTCATATCTCCATCTTTCTTGAGTTGTTGATTGCTGTTTACAGCACTCGGGGTCTCCTCTAAGTGTTCTGCCATGAAGGGAGTTGAATTCTTTACTTGTTGGTCCACCTTCAAGCCCTTGAGCCCTGCTTCTACCTCTTCCACTGAAAGCACAACCCCTGAATGTGAACTCTCTTTAAGTTTTTCTTTATTTGCAGAAAGGCTGGAAAGTAGAGGTTTTAAATCCACTTTGGCTTTCTGTAGCATTTCTAAAATATCCACTTTATTTTCAGCATGGTCTTCCAATGGTATAGGAGTAAAATAATTCCCCGAGTTTTGTCCAGGAGAAAGGATAGCTTGCTCCAGACCTGCAAGTCTCTCCAACTCTTCATGTGGTGTTGACCCAAGGCTGCTGGATCAGCTTCCTGATTGGCTTGGATTAGAGAACCACCTACTGAACCGACTGGCAGAGACGGACCCTTCTCCCCAAACATCTTCTATCATGGAAGCCAAGCATGGAACTTTATCAAGGTTAAAGAACTCATTAAAGTCAAATTCTCCCAGGGATTGTTCAGGCAAGACAGCTTCCCTTGGCACTTCCTGATCAGCAGTAGGCTTTTGGGCGAGGATGACCTCCACCTCATCCTCTTCAGCCACGCCTCCATTGCACTCAACTATGCCT